AGAAAAGGAATATTGGCCAATTATAGCCCATTGAGAGAGAATTTCACACATTAGAAGGGGAGGAACAATAGTTTGCATAAGTGACCATCAGGTTTCTAGTAATAAGAATAAAAAATACCCGAGAATAAAAATAAGGGAAAAGCAAACACTGCAATTTTAAAATGATCCATGCTGAATTTACAGGCGCTATTTTGTACTTTGCTGCAATTTGCAGGCTGAGCCAGCAGAAGTTGTGATCTGTTGGGCTGGGAGAGGGGAAGAGTAGGAGAGTGAGTCAGAGGAGGCAGAGCAGAGTTCTCTGCATGCGGGAGAAGGGAATATATATATTAACTTGATAGCTGTAATTAGGATGTTTTAAAGATAAGTGCCTCATAATAAAAGATACCTCCTTTTTCTTAATTTGCAGGTTGCCTGAGGCCATTGGTTCTTCCTCATAGTTATATTAACATATCTGAGTTCGACTCTTCCTTCCCAGTAGGATCAATTATATATTTTCAGTGCTTTCCTGGATATAAACTAGAGGGGACAGAGTTCCTTGAGTGCATGTATAACCTTATCTGGTCAGATAGCCCACCTAGGTGCCTTGATGTGGAAGGTAAAGCATCTTCTATATTTTTAAAAACATGTTTCTTGGCAGCTAAGATACAATGTATTTTTATATGGGGTGATGACTTTTCTCTTGACCCATCTTTAGTCTTTCCTCAAAGTAAATAAGCAACATGTGTTGTTTTACAATGTAATCCTACACATGTCTACTTAGAACTACATTTCACTGAATTCACTATGACTTACTCCTAGGTAAGTGTTGCAGTCCAGCACATCGCAAGGGCAGCGGGCTGGGAAAGGCTGTTACGCACGCTCACTCTTCATCTGCACATGATGTGTACCTGGTGCCATCATCAAAGTTGCTTCTGCCCTGTCCCTTTCATACTGCGCAAAGCTGTTTACTTGCACTCTCTGCAAGTATTATGGATCTTACCCTGTTTTAATATTTGCGGTCTCCTGACTACCAACAGCATTTCCTGTCATTTGATTTTGTCTGAGGTGCGTGCCCAGATTTTCTTCTTGTTCAGTTTGTCTATTTATAAAAGCATCTTCATCCACATTACAGTCTGAAGATCCATTTCAAAAACATAATAAAGTTGCAACATTAAAATACTAGAAACAAAAAACTAGAAAAATAAATAAAAATATGGCATTAAATTTATTTCTAAGATGAGCAGAGAAGTTTTCCACATGAGGGTGGTCACTTGTGAATTGCCAAAGACAAAAGAGGATTCCTATTTGCAGAACATTTGTATATGCTAATTGATATGTTTTGATGCAAACTTAGAAATTATAGTTATCATTTAAATAGAAATTGTTTACATCTCACCATAGCATGCAAGACTGTCATCAGGGGACTTGTGTGCCGTGCTCAGTCCGCTGTCCTGGTGCTACTTTAAGGCCCAGTTCTTCTTTCTGAGGGTTGTCTGTCTTTAAAGTGGACTTGCATGGGTCAATCTTTCAAACAGAGGACACCTTCAAAATACAGCCCTTTGGTAGCCCTTTAAGTAAAAGACAGTCCTCTGTGAAAGAAGACACATAATCACACTGGCTTCACAGCCTAGTGTATTGCTAGGGTTACATGGGAAAAGGCTGTCATAAGAAGTGCCCTGCTGGGCAACCAGATGCCTCCAAGAAGCCAACAAGTAGGGTGTGAAAGCCATCGCTCTGCTCCAGCTGGTGGTATCCTGGTCCCAGACTGTGTAGAGCCGTAGGGCTCAAGGGCCAGCACTCTGAAATGCACCTGGAAATTAAATGATGGGGATGCCGTGGCACCAGTGGAATATGCACTGCAGATGCCATGCCAAGTAATAAATTTGAGCCAGCACATATTAGCAACCATTCTCCCAGCTCAGGATTTTCTCCCAGCATTCTGAAGTGGTGCCGTTCCAAGAAGGCTGTACGCCATCTAATTAATCTGAATCTGAAAAACGGCTCCTAACAACCATGAATGCATTTTTATCATCTACACATTTTCTCTGTTTGTTTTGCAGTCCAAACCTTTTCCCACTGGGAATTGCCCTTCCATGAGTTGGCTGGCAAAAAATGCAGGTAGTATGAGGTACAAACTAAATGCCCTTAAAATATGCTGCTTTTTGCAATTTAATTGTGAAAGGATTGAATTTCAAGCCTCCAAGAGGTTACTCTAAAGTTTTTATGAGGATTTTTCCTTCTTAACCAAGAAATCCTGACTTGGAGGTTCTTCTCCTGAACTCATGCGACGGATTTGTAATACATTATCTACCTCCTAAACTTACAGAATAAGAGGCCAGCTTTAGGGATAAATTGCATACCACATTCAGCCAAGTGAGTTTCTTCAGAACACTTGGGTAAATTGTATCAGATCCTATTACTATTCAACCTATTGATTTGTCCTGGCAGCTTTTCTGTAGATGCTTCCCTTAGTGATGGTGCTCAGAATGCCCAGTGAGCTGAAAAGGATTGCTCTACTGAAGCACTTTCTGTAATGTCCGCTTTTGTGTGAAACATGGAGGACAGTACCCACTGGTACAGTGTGAAGCAGTATGGGCTTCTCATCCTTCTAAATTCTGTGATCTTGCAGTGTAACCATGGTGTACCTGAGAGAGGCAGTAATGTAATTTGGCTCCCCATCCAAGTGCCCCTGCCTCAGCATGTAACAAGCAGGCATGGGAGAATTCTGATTTGTAAGTGTGAGCGAGAGATATTTTGAGACTTGAGATTGTAAAAGAAAATAGTTGGCTTTCTGCTTGGCTAATCCCAAGAAAATGACAGCCCTTATAAGAAAGACTGGTGGTGATTTCTCGGGCTTTTAGGGTTGCATTTAATGATATCATTCTGTTAATTTAAAGCTTAATCTGCTTGGTGAAACCCTCTTTTTATTATTCAATTTGCACTGCACCTTTCTATTCTGAAAATAGCACTCAAGTCTTTTTTATCCTTATGCAAATCACCAGTTCAGTACTTGGTGTTCCACAACTTATTACAGCTTCATTAGTACTAGTTGTTTGTACTGGTTGTGCTAGTTATCCCATTAGTGAGTGCTTGTGCAATTGCTTACTAAACATGCAGCTGCTCTAATGTAATAGCTGTGGTACTTTTTCCACTAACAATTGGATTCAAGCTATTTAAAAAAGAAAAAAGAGATCAAATAATTCTGAGCTTAATAAATTTCTTAATTTGCTTGGAGGGATGTTTGTTTTTCTAAAACTGGATGAATAAACAATTTTAACAGACTACTCAGTTTGATACTTTTTCTCTTAATTTGTTTCTTTAAAGAAGATACTATTGCAACAGAGGAAAAAAATTACTGTGAAGAACAAGCTGGCAGAACAAGCAAAATAAAATGACTTGAAGATGTTAGAATTTAGAATTCAGTTTATTGTTTTCAATTACTTTTTGAAATGAATATTTGTTTTAGTAAAACAAATGAGATTTAAGCAAAATCTTTTAGGATAGAAAAATTGCTAAGTAAACGTAATAAAAATAAAAATATAGAAAGAAAATACAGGTATCTGCTATAAAGGATAGCTATAGCAGATATCTATTCCACTTTTATAGTTTTATTGCTTATAGAATTACTTCTGGACTCCTACGTTACATTCTTAAATACAGACAGATGGCGGGGGTGCTAACGCCCCTTCCATTGCTGGTCATTGGCAGGAAGGTATAGTAAGAGGTTTAAATGGAAAGATGGATCAAATTATAATAATAATCAGGAGGAATTGTCTATCAAGGTTGATTTGCCAGTGGAGCAAATTTTTATGTGAACATGGGCATCCTAACACTGGCTGCTTCTAAAGCAGCATAATTAGATCATCTGTCAAGAATGATTTAGGCATAATTGGTCCTGCTGATGGGCAGGATAATAGGTATTCTTGACCTTTTTAGTGTCTCTCTTTCTGGGTCTGCGTAATATCACTGTTGCAAATATCAACGGGCTGCCACCTGTCAAATATTTGGGTAGCTTTTTTCTGTTGTATCAGCACATGCAATTTCTTAGCATCTCAGGAAAATGGAATACATATATTCCATATATATTCAAAGACATTTGTGCTCAAACACACATTATTCTTATTTTAGCCGGACTAATTATAAATGCTTGCAGTGCTCTGGCTTCTGTTTTAGACCCTCAAAGGGTGGGGGCGGGGGGGGGAGCAGGTAGAGAAAGAGTTCCGCAATTTTCAACTGACAGTATATGTAAACTGCAAAGTACTGTGTTGTTATCTTCAGGTGCATAAAATGACATTTTGAGGATTGCCATCAGATGAGGATTTGGTATCTCTTGTTTTTCCCTTCAAAATAAAAGAAGTGTTTGGAAATGTGCTGTAGTAATTTAAAAAAACAAAAACGAACAAACCTTTTCTGTTTTATCGAGGGGTTCTTGGTTTCTCTAAGTGACAAGCTGAGCTTATATAGTCAGAAGCAGAGGTTGTAAAATTATATACTATTATACATCCAAGGAGCCAATTGTGGGTTTTTCTCTGTTGTGGAGATCTTTGTAATTTTTCTGGCTATGTGTATGCTGCATTATGAAGAGAGCAAACGATTGACTTATGTGTTGCTTTGTGTGCCTTCTGTTCCAGTTTGATAAAAGGGCTGTCAGACAAAGGCACCACTTCATGACTATTGTGTGTTCCCTGAAGAAAGCCCTTACAACAGTTTCTAGTTAACCAAATATCTACATTCCACTGTTTGAACTGTACTTTCTTTCCCAAAGTGTTGCATTTTTCAAAAGCTGCACAGTAGATTTTTCCTTCTCCCTGCACTATTAGACTGTGTTAAGGGTTAGCTGAGAAAAGGAGAAAATCCAGATTCTCCCTGAGGCCTAGCTTAGCATATTGAACTATATTTTTATCTGACAGTGTACTTCTAAAAGGACCAGCATACCCACATTTGACACCAGGGAGAGCTGTGTTACTGTTGTGCATCCTGGACCATATTTATGGATGGAATGCTAAGCCAGTGCAGACATTGCTTCTGAATATTTTTGTATCATGTATCTAAAGCAGCACAATCAATCATGTTAGTTTCAAACTCAGCTCATACAGAAGAGGTGTTATGCCATTATGGAGGTTTTTGAATGATACTCAAATGTCTTCTTAACATTTGCTGCAATTTTGTCCTCTGGGTCCTTCGATTTGGTAAATTCTATCAATCTCATTTTACAGACTTTTCTGTAGATAACTTGCATAGCCTACTTTTTCATTATCTTAAGGGCACAGTCCAATGCATGGATAGGCAGAAAAAATCTATGCTGGCTGGAGCGTGCTGGGAATTTTTTATATAAATAGACATAGGATTGTATCCTAAAAACATGGTATTTAAAATGTTACAAGATCTAGTAAAATTGGCCTGATCCTACTCAGTGGTTTGATCTTTATGTAAGATAAAGGTCTTTGAAACTAAAGATGACCAGTGCTATTTTTTACATATCTCGTCCACACATCTTAATTATAGAGGCTTTGATCAAACTTAATTTGACATGCTCTTTTCTTGTGCTTCCTCCTGTATGTTTTAGAGTCCTTCCTTTTAGGAAATAGCGCACCTGATTTGTTCTCTTCCAGTGGG